TGGTTATATTCTGCTAATTAAATATTAGTTCTCTTTGAATTACAGTCTTAAATAATGGTCATTGGTGTATTTCGCACGAATCCGGCAAGAAAATTTGGTTGAAAACTTTATTTCTGTTTTTTTTTTTTTGATTTTATGTTATGTGTTGATCTTATAATCTGGTTGGGTAGTAATAGTGGACTGCCAAATTTTTATGCAATAGCTTATACTTTGATAGTAGTTTGGTTTTTAGAACTCTATTAGGAATTGAATTTTTTTTTTTATCCCATCAGGAACAGTACCAATAATCCATCAGGAATAGTATTTTTGCATAATAACCAGGTGGTTTTAAATTTTTTTTATATAATTTTTATAAAATATTTATATGAAAATTTTTTTTTAAAAAAAGCCAGCTAGGTCTATTTAAAATTTTCATGTTATAAAAACCAAGTAATTAAATTTTTATGGCCTAATGGTTGATTTTATTTTTTTTAAAAGCTTTTTTAGTGATAAAACTTTACATTCATAAATTACCCATAGGTTGGCAATATAGAATTATTATAAGATTATAATATATAAAAATAACTATTTGAACTAATTTAAACAAATTTTATAAATAGTTAAGGTTAGAGTAAGGATTATAGCTTAAATTAAGGTTAGGTTAGAGTTAGAGTTAGCAGTCACATGACATGTCTATATAAGTGCTGTTACTTATAAATCAAATAAGTTGATTTACCTCAATTTTATATATAAATTTATATAAAAAAATTACTTAAATTTAATTTTTGTAAAAGTATACATATAAACCTTTCTCTAAATTTTAAATATATATTCTTTGGAATTTAATAATCTTTAGTTTAAAGCCAAAGCTTTTAATCTCTGGTAGTTTGAAGTTAATCTTCAATTAAAGTTAGACAATTCTTTAATATATTCTTTAAATCAAATAACTAACTCACTATATAACAATATGATTGGTTAAAATAATCTTTTAAAATTAAAGAAGATTTTACTAAGTAAAGATTTCTTCCAGCTTTAAAAAAAGTTATAGAAGAGGTTCTTCTGATTCTAATGGTGGTTAAATCATTAAAATTGGCTTAGTGAATTCCAAGATACTTGGAATCAAAGAAAAGAATATAGTCTAACCTCTTTATAGTCACCTTCTATATAAGCACATTTTCTTTATAAGTATGTTTTTTAAAAACAAACTATTACAGTCTAACCTCTCTATAGTCACCTTCTATATAAGCACATTTTCTTTATAAGTATATTTTTTAAAAACAAACTATTATTAAATATAATAAATTTGACCTCTATAACTATCACACTTCTATACAATCAGCCATTTTTGTACCCCAACTGTATGATTATAGAGAGGCTTGACTGTATTAAATATAATAAATTTGACCTCTATAACTATCACACTTCTATACAATCACCCATTTTTGTACCCCAAGTGTGTGATTATAGAGAGGTTTGACTGTATAAGGATCTACAAATTCATTATTATACGAAGTATAATACTTTATATAATAGTAAATTTGTAGATTCTTATGTTCTTTTCTTTGATCTCAAGTATCTTGGAATTCACCAAGCCAATTTTAATAATTTAACTATTATTAGAATTAGAAAGATCTCTTCTACAACTTATTCTAAAGCTAGAAGAAACCTTTACTTAGTAAAACCTTTTTTAATTTTAAAAGATTATTTTAACCAATCATATTATTATATAGAGTGAGTTAGTTATTTAACTTAAAGAACATAGTAAAGAATTGTATAACTTTAATTAAAGATTGCTTCAAACTACCAGAGATTAAAAACTTTGGCTTTAAACTAAAGATTATTAAATGCCAAAGAATATATATTTAAAATTTAGAGAAAGGTTTATATATATACTTTTACAAAAATTAAATTTAAGTAATTTTTTTATATAAATTTATATATAAAATTGAGGTGAGTCAACTTATTTAATTTATAAGTAACAGCATTTATATAGATATGTTCTGTGACTGTTAGAGTTTTTATATATTATTGTTGTGTTTTAGTTTAATTCTAGCATTAAATCTAATCTGATGCATATCAAATACTGATTTTTAGATAACATATTGATTAGTTATTTAATATACATGAGCTGTAATTTGAGATACATTGGTTTTAAACTAATGCACTACTGAGTTTATATATTTAATTATTACCAAAATTTTTATCTAATTCTTTAAAACATAGGTTAATATTTGTAACTATTGTCACGGTGCTGTGCAACACCCATGTGACTAGTGATCGGGTGTTGATTGAATGTCAGCAATCAGGATGACGATTTAATTAAAAGTCTAAATATTGATGCATGAACAATGTAGTAATCAATAGCGATTAGTAATAATTAGTGCCACAAATGTGTATTAGTAACAAATAAATAAAGTATTGATCCTAAAGGAGAGAGAGGGAGATTGAACTTTGAGTTCTTTGAATTATTCTTAGTGAATAAACTGTTGTTATCTCTGTGAATACATATTGGTAGTAGTATCTGGTACGATACATCAGTCATCGTATATTATAGCCAAGCAAGTTAAAGACCAATAGTGAAAGTAAAGAAGTTTACGGGGTGTTGGTAAACTCTGTGACACTATAGCTTGCATGATAAACACTATGTAATAATATAGATTTATTTATTTTTTAAATATGATTTAATCATCATATAATGATATAATTGAATCATTATACAACAAATACTGCATAACAATATTAAACAAATAATACCCTAACCTCAATTCTAATAGCTATCAATTCTACTACTCTAAAATGATATAAAAACTATTACAAAGTAACTTTAAAAATTACTATAAAATAACAAAGAAATTCATTATGAAATGATAAAAGAACTTACTGTAAACTGATAAAAAAACCATGAAAAAAATCACTATAAAACAACAAAAAGCCACATAAAGCAAAAAAAGATTTACTATTCTATAAACAATAGTAGGTCTACTGTAAAATGATGAAAGTACTCACTGTAAATAATAAAAACCTATCTTAAATGATGAAAGAACACTTTGAAACAATGAATGACCCATTGCGTAATGATAAAGGAATCTACTATAAAACAACAAAAGACCTACCATACCATGCACAATAAAAAACCCACTGTGAAATGATAAAAAGGCTTAATAATAAATGAACTCACTGTGAAATGACAAAAAAAACCACCTTTAAATACTAAAGGATTCACTGTGAAACAACAAAGAAATCCACAATAAATAACAAAAACCTACCATAAAATGATGGAAGAACTACAATAAACTGACAGTGAAGCAACAAATAAACTCATATAAAACTCAAAACTAATGACTCCAACAACATCTCCAAAGATGAAGACTCCAGCAACAGCAACAACAACAACAACAACTTTAAATATGATAACACCAGCAGTGACTCAAAATGTGATGACACCAACAATGGTTTCAAAGATGAACAAATATATTGATATTAATTTTTTTTAAAAAAAGATTAGATTTTTGAAGATCTTGTGTCAGACTACAACTCATGCACATCAGACGACTAATTAACAGGTGATGTGTGTCATCTGAAAATTGGTATCTGACAAGTGTTGGATTAGATCTGACACAAGAATTGATCTGAAGAACAACATATTTATGTTGCTAGTGTTTAAAATTCAGATCAAACCCTACATGCACAGATGCAGCTGTATTATAGTTTTGATTGCACAAACTAGCTATTAGTTGCACAAATGTGTATATAATTTTTAATGCCAATGTTATGAAATTACTATACCAAATATATCCTATATTTTTTTTGGTAAATTTTCAGAATATTTCATATATTTTCTCAAAATTTAAGCACAATCTTGCTCATTTTTTTATGCTTATTTATTTTTTTTTCAAAATTCTTCAGATGATCTTTTACTATTTCTAAATTTTGTGTAATATAGTTTATTGCACAAGCTCTTTATATTTAATTGCACACTTATGTATATATATTTTGAACTTCACTTGCACTAAAAAAAAACCACTTGACCACACGAATAGTATAGTCATCTTGATATAAGACAATACAACCTTTTCTTCATTTTATAATTGTTGCCCTGCCAACAGGAAAAGATTCTGAAATTAGACAAGGAATCAAAGTCTAATGGCAGCTCCAAAGGCAAACAACAAGCATTTACTTGTTATAAAAACTGCCTGCTAGTCCTTTAAAAGGATTATTACGAGCTCTTAGAATGAAGAGTGTTGGGAAAGATACATTAAGTGTTTCAGGGAAAATTCCTTAAAATAGTATAAGGAGATTTAATTGGTGACAGGAGAAAAGAGTCTTTGTAATCATGTATTGTTTGACAGAAGAGAATAGTCCCATCAGTTGAGTAATGTAATTAAATATGTAAAACAATTATATATTTAAAGGCCCACTTTGACCTCAATAAATTTTCTTCAGACTTTGATCTGTTTAAATAAAACTCAAATACCTATAAGTTAGTAGGCATTTCAAAGCTGAAGGCAACTTATAATTATTGTGCATAATCGAATTCTCACACTTCTTGTTAGCATTAAGTTAATGCTTATTGTTATTTTATTATCTTTATTAAATATTATTCTGCATATATCAATCGATCTATTTAAGAATCGATTCGCTGTTAATTCCTACATTGTTAAGTTTACTAAATACAGACGCATATCTGCATCTAGAATTCCTTAGATTCTATTATTCTTATCTCGCATCATTTACTCCAAAACCCCTCTAATTATATCCAACCATACTTACTCGACATCCTTTCACAGTCGATATTCCTGACTTGTGTCGTTTACTGTCCTGTTCTAAACTGGCATTCCGATCGTTATTAGCTCTCCCGCCGATAGTAACAACGGGTTGAAGGACCGACTAAAAAAACGTAGTATCGGTAATTGGAAGATATAACGAATGAAGAAAAGATCTACGGGTTGAAGGAAACTGAAAAATTGTAATATTGATTGATATCCAAATTCAAGTCAAGGTTGATTAAACTATACCCTAAAATGGCTCACATGCTTGAAGTATCCTTCAAGAGTATTAATGATTTTAAAAAAGATTTGCAAAGATCGATGAAATACACTTTGAACAAAAATATCTTAAGTTATCTTGGGAGGTGATAACAATAGTTTTCCTCAAACAGATCTTCGAGGAAATTTTATGGAAAATTGTAGGTATTTACAGAAAGAATAGGATTAGGTTCATTCGTTGCTGCAGTTTAAGACAGGCTATTGCCCGGGTAGTTTTTTTTAACATTAACGTAATCAACTATGATTGGCCAATTTCTATATGAAAAAAAATAATTTTGATAGAATTATAGTTCCACAGTATAAATCACCATAGGATTTTTTAGCCTGTTTTTGTTACGATAATTCAGAATTTTATTAAAAAAAGTAGGCACCATATCTAGTCTGATGCTACAGCTATTGGCCAGATCGAGACTTGGAACTTAGGACAATTTAATTATGTTTGGAATTTTGAATCTGAAAGGATATTGGAGACTTGTAGTTTGGACGATAATCATAGTGTTGGAAAAATAAGATTATCCAATTAAGCTATGGATCATTATTAGCTGTTAGCAATTAAACATATATAATTGCTGCATTTTTTTACTGCCCTTTGCTGTTTTTTTTCTTCTTTATTTCTACAGTATGATCGATAAACACTATCAAATGTTGGCAAATAATGTATGTTTTTGTGAAGCATAACATTGTAACATTTTATTTACATATAAAATTTTTTGTTTGAAATAATTTTTGTCTAAAAAAAAAGAGAAAATTATCGCAAATGTTAAACATGTAAAATAAGGAAAGTTAAACAGTGTTTTTTGTTATATTTCTGCATCTGTATAATGTGTTTTTCGAAATTTTAATTTATATTCATCAATAATCTTCATTATACTGTTAAATGCTAATATTGTCATTATTAATATTCACAATCTGTTTGTGGTTCGGAGATTGACATAACTGGCCCAAATTTCTATGTGTACTGTAGTACTAATAGTTAGTAATACAGTCAGATACTATAAATGTACACTTAACAACATGCACTTAGAAAGTGTGCATTTATGGAGGTCACGTATATACAGTTTAAGGAAATAGTAGCGGATATTATCAGTTATATATAGATTATGAATAGTGCTTTCGTAAATATATTTATGTATAGTTTTCCCCATAGCCTTTAAAAGGTATTCATTTCATACTTCTAGACTTGACTGCTGATTATTTCCGAATGATCTTTCTTTTATAATAAAGTTTCCTGAGTGACTTCCTAATTATATTGTATCATACTATCTATATCTCATGCTATATGCTTACATAATGCAAATTACTTACTACTACATATTGTTTTAGGACTTTTACAGTTATCTCGCTTGCTTGTATTTATGTACACATTTATTTCATATTCGTTTACGATCCTGAGTTATCGTAGCATCATTGTGTCTGCCGCTTAAGTGGTAACACCTATTAGTTTTGTTTGGATTCGATTGTCGAGGTTCCGGAAATCTATAATCACCAATCACGGGAAATGTTTCAATTTCTCGTGATCGTGATTGATCAGTAAAATTAATGTTTTCGATTTTTTTCGTTATACTGTGCCAGAAGTACTTTTTTTTATAAATAGCTAAAACTTCTTACAGCAAATTTTTTTAAAAAAAAATTTACTAATAAATTTATACATATGCTGAGCTTTACAAAGTTATCAGTCAGTTTTTTAAAAAAATACTTCTGTAAAGAGCTATGGCAATTTTAAAGATTGGTTCTTTTTTCAAATCGATATAACTTCTTAGAAATTTTTTAAAAATCTGACCGATAACTTATAGAGCTCAGTTCAGTACATGAAGTTATTGACAAATTTTTAAAAAAAATTTTTCTGTAAAAAGTTTTAGCGATCTAAAAAAATACAGTATTTCTGGCGCAGTATTAGTAATAACGTAATTAGCTCATACGTAATTAAGCTTTGATATATAATCGATAAAATACGTAATTAGCTCATACGTAATTAAGCTTTATATAAATGATATTAAATTAATTAGTAATCAAAATATTTTTCTTCTTTTATATAATAATAATAAATAAAGTAAATAAAATAAAATGAAACGTTCCTTTATAAAAGCTAGCGATTTTTATTCAACTTATGGTGAGTATTTAGGTTTTTATTGTTTAATTATGGTATGTTCTTTAACTATGATTTTTTATAATATAATATTAATATACATGTTTTTTATATAATAGTAAAGTGAAAATAATTGATAAGAAAAGAGGAGATATGTTATGTTA